AAATATTGGGCTACCATTGTAACTACGGTACGGTATGTTAAATTACCTAAAATAGTTTTTTGTAAACCACTTGTCTACAGGCAACGCCCGAACAGCCGTCTAGTCTGCAGCCACCTACACCCAAGACATATCTGGATCGTGCGTCAGTCCGGGCGCCGAGCTCAGCTACAGGGAATTACCTTGTCCCTGAGATCATGAGCATTGGCCATGCTATGAAGGCTGGTTAATATACCAGGGTGTGCACTATTATGTAAGGGACATGCTATGCAGGTGGTTAATATACCAGGGTGTGCACTATTGTGTAAGGGACATCCTATACAGGTTGTAAATATACCAAGATGTGTCTACTATCCTGTAAGGGACATCCTATGAAGGCTGGTTAATATACAAAGGTGTGCACTATCATGTAGGGGACATCATATGCAGGTTGTTAATATGCCAGGGCGTGTCTACTATCATGTAGGACCATCTTCTGCAGGCTTGCTAGTATGCTAGGGATAGTGAGCTACCGTGTTAAAACCATCATGTACAGGCTTAAACCATCATGCAGGCCCTAGCGTGAACAGACCAACATCTAAAAGTTTATTACTATGCAAATGAGCGTGCACCATCGTGCAAAGGCTACTATCACTTGCAAGCTTTTTGATATGCCAGGGTGCGAGTGCAGTCGCTTGTGTAAGTCTGTGATCGCGAGAGCTGACAGGATCAAAAGATGGTCGACCATGAGCAGATTTATTAATAAGCAAGAATGTGTACACTTCTTTTCAAGTCGACGCCCATGCGTGTAGGAGGTCCACAAACAAGACAAAATATCAGAGTTGAATGCGTCAGCAAATGGATAAAACAAAGCTCAATGGTATAAGTCATTGTAGCCGTGGAAAATTAAAACCGTTATGCTGAGTTGGAATTAGAAACCATGAAACCATTGGCTAATAACCATAGGAAAGAAACCGATGCTACTCTATAAAAGACCAGGCAGATAAATATTGTCGAGGTAACGTGTCAATTAGACCTATAGTTTTATTAAGTTACTCGTACATGATGAGAAAACCCCAAAAAACTAATAATCTGGCATCATAACTTTACAAAACCTTGCTTAGCAGGGCACTAAGTCCACGAATACATAAATCTGACAGCTCAGGGTCAATGCGAATATACTTTTGAAAACAATATTTTCAACTTTTAGTAAACCCCAGGCACCCACTTCCTCTTTCTAACTTTGACAAAGTTTCTTCCTTTTATCATTCTAATGTCAATCATAAGAATTGTATAAAATTCAGTATTCAACACTATTTTATTACACGTATTTGGATCCATATTTTAGACTTTAGTGAGGTAAAAGGTATAGGGGATTGTCAGAGGTAAAGGGCGAGATGGGCGGTGGGAGAAGTGTTAGTAAGAGGTGTTAGATTTGGTGCATAGTAAGAAAAGTAATATGAACGGTTATCAAAATTAGAGGCAAGGGGAGGTGAAGCCTGAGGTAAGGGGCAAGGGAGGAGCTATGAGGGGTTGCTTAACATAAGAGGGGAGAGGAAGCACTGATTAAACGACTGAGGGCAAGGGAAGAGATTTGAGGGTTTACAAGAGTTAAGATATAAAATAAGCGCTGGTTTGACGTTCGAAGGAAAATAAAGAGCTGTGAGGGGTTGACAGAAGTAAGGGGTGAGAGAAACGCTGGTTAGACGTACGAGTATATGAGGGGAATGGAAGAGCTGTGAGGGGTTGTCAGAGGTAAGGGGTAAGAGAGGCGCTGGTTAGACATACGAGTATAAGGGAAATGGAAGAGTTGTGGGGGTGATAAGGGGTAAGAGAAGCGCTGGTTATACGTACGTGTACGAGAGGGAAATGGAAGAGCTATGAGGGGTTGTCAGAGGTAAGTCATGGGAACAGCGAGTGAGGTTACCCGAGGTTATAGGTCAAGAATAGCGGGGATGTGTTAGCACAGGTCGGGGCGAGGGAAGAGTTTAGAGGGATTCCCAGAGAGATTATAGCAAGGGAAGAGATGAATGAAATTGCCTGCGGTAAGAAGATGAACAAACAGGGGCGTGAGGGCAGTGGCACTGGGTGTGAATGAAAGTACAAACAGGTGGAATCAGTTATTACCTTTTATTTCCCAAGTTTTTATACAATAGCATTAATGCTAATGTTGATAAATCAAAATAACAATCCATCATACACCGAAAATCGAGTTAATTCTGTCATACAACACACTGCAACTACAATATGAATTGTACTAATATATAATAATGTGTATCGAAAATAATGATACAAACGAGAGAGAAATTTTGAGAGCATCTCGTGTTAATTGATCCGTTGTTTTCGACGTTCGCTGGTTGTTGTTAGTCCTTTACAATATAGAAGCTTTCGCTGTTTTTCTACCTTTTTTGACCTCAGGAATTTTCGTTTGCATGTTAATAGCTTAACGTTCTATAACTAATAATATTTAGTCGAAGATTCAGTTTTGCTCAACTATTTACACGTTAAGATACTAGATAATGAGCCCGCCGCATATGGGTACTCCTAACGTGTGTGGATATTTTAGTTACTGATAATTCAATTTCAACGCAAATAAAGACTTTCATTCAAACTCGCTTTCGTTTAAGACTGCACAAAAACAAACCAGTTCTTATGAGGGAGGTGAGGAGAAACTGAATCAGTTTATTGCAGCCTTCGGGTCATTCCTCACTCGCCTGAGAAGAAGCCTCGAGCCTGGATAGCAGTCCGGGACTAGGGAACTTTCTCGCAATAAAGAAAACATTGATACGGATTAATTGTCCGGAGAAGAAATTAATATTTGTCGCGTCATTATTTTCATCATTCTTTTCGTCAACAGCTTAACTTTCAATGTGTCCTATCTAATAGTCACATCATTATTTTCGTCATGACAATTATTCTTTTTGTCAACAAATTAAGTTTCAATGGGTCTCATCTACATAAAGTGAGCAACAGTCCAGAAGTACGAAAAGACGTTTGATGTGCGAATACAGAGGCTACGCGCTTGTCAATATAACGGATCATATAATCCAAATAATGCATCATATTTTCTAAATGATGAGTCATATTGTGCAAAGCCTCACGTATTTCTCTGAGTGAAAGAGCCGAGAATGTCGCTCGTGAATGTGGCGCGGAGACAACAAAATTGACAATATTTATTGTCGTGCAGACAATGTGATGATTGGGCGGCGGTTAATTCAACCATCAAATTGAGTATCGTTAAGCAAGCAAAGTGAGACTATTGAGCAGAATCATAGGGAAGATGAGGTGCTGAATCGTTATATATCATAACTGACAACATAAACATGATAATGGTTGAAATAAGTCGCGATTTTGCGATAGCCTATTATCATTGCCTATGAAATTAAATATAAATTCATCAACGAATAGGAATTATCACTGACTTAGAATGGCAGAAAAGCAAAAACCTAAACGATACGATCGAGTTGAGTGAATAATAAGATTAAACAGCCGGTTAAATGAAATTATTCGCGACCACACGCCTCCCTCGATCAGTACCTAAGTTACATTATTTACATATTGTGCAGGACTAAACAATTTTCAGCTTCTTCAAAACTTCTGGAAGAATGGGATTTGAATATTCAATAAAAAATATACATTCCTTTACCTGTCTGGCGCTGTCACGTCTTTGTACCAGAGCTCACGTTTCAGTTCGGTTAATATCTTCATAACATTTCGCTATTTATGAATCTCGTTAAAATGCTTATTTAAGTTCAGGATCTACCCCCGATCTCGTAATCTTCCCAACCACAGTTCTTTGTCGCCGCGCTGATTGGGAGCAATGGCCAGTTTTCAGGCGATATAAGAATGGTTACCACTTACCAGAAGCAGTACCCAATAACCAATTTTAGTGCCCTCGTACGTATATAATTTTCTAATGCGAGATCAACACAATTCTGGATGGAAGCTACCTCAAATCCTCAATAGACTGATGGTATCTTATTTTTGCGGCAAATGACATCAGCCGTCGGTACCGTAGTTGTTATGGGGGTTTTACACATTGCGCTTGAAGTTATTCGTTTCCAGATAGTCTTTGGTGACCGATATCTACGACAACTAAATCCAGGCTAATCCAGACATACTAGAACCTGGTAGAATAAACCAATAAGTAATAAATACATACATAATCCTGGATACGTAATACTAAAGGGAAACCATATCGTCAATGTCGATAACGTCGCCGCAGCACTGTCACCATTCTTCAATGCAAACGATTTACTGCCGGTACCTTACCTATGAAAACAAATCATCATGTGGTTATCGAAACCTACAAATCGTAGTTCTGATCATTATTATGTGATTTTTAATGACGAGCGGCGACTTATGTGGCATTGACGGGAGACGGTTGACTGTTTGAAGGCTTCTAGCGGGAAGAAGACTTCTGTGGTAGGTACCTATGAAACAATTAGTAGGTAGTCTAGAACTGCAAATTTATCAAATTGTTGAATCAATAGGAAATTACAAATTGAATTGATAAGGCAGCGTGCAAGGATAGCTACTACAATAGTAACGACTAATGAGTCAATGACAGTGTTGCAGTTGGAATTGAGCTTCCACTTCTGATGCTTGCGAATTGCGATCGCTTATACTTATACTTTAGTTTATAGCAGATGCAACTAACGCGATCTGGAACAGTGGAACTGATGTAAACATTTTTGGCATAAGATTTCTATTTTGATTGAAATTTTCAAGTAATATATACCCTCATCACTCATGACTCGTACAATAACTGAAATAATATAAATAAATTAGGAAGAAAGATATTAGAATGACGACGCTGTATTTTGCGCAAAAAATTACAATCACGCTAAATAAACTGTTTAGCCTCAGTGACTATGATTCATAATCTAAAAATCAGACCAGACGCTCCTACAAAATCTTCACATGGCTGCTTGAAGCGCATGAAGAAAGTTTTAACATCAGTCAAAATTACGCACTTAGACTTACGCAACACCGCAGAAACGGAGCAAGAGAATGCAACTCACCTTATTTGGAGTTAGAATGCTTGCAGCTTGTTCACACTTCACTTGCAACACTAATCGACAGGGCGCAGTCTGAGCACTACATCATTAAATAAAGTAGGTGATAATAAAAAAAAAAACACAGATACACCGTCCTTCAAATTTCCTACAACTTATGACTTTCTTTCAATGAGGTAGGAACGTGAGAACGAAATTTTAACAAAATGGTTCTTTCGAAAGCCAACTTCTAATTCTAAAGCAAGAACTACGAATCTATTTTTATTACAAATTACGTTTGCAATATGACAAAATCACGTCTGAGCTCGTCAACTCGGAGTCCTAAGTCACCGATACCGCAGAAGCAACACAACCGCCCGCATCAAAACCTTACAACCTCCCACCGCGACTAGCGTGCCAACACTGATGGGTGAAGTTGTGAACCGTGAACCAACCTTATTCAGATCTCAGCCTTCACTCAGAGGGAGCTTCCAGTCACCTCTGCCAACGCATTTGACGCATCAATAAATTAGTGCAGGCAATATAGTTTCTTTCAGTCTATAAGAAGCATTAGAATGATTAGATAATAAGGCCTGAAGAGGTATGCACTATGCAAAAATAAAAAATTTTTATTCAGAACATGTCATTTATTATAGATGACTCACTATAAATAATCTAATGTAAATAGAATAAAAGTGTTGGCACTGAAGAAATAGGCCCATAGCCAACTGCCAGTTGCTAATTCATAAACTTTTCGTGACTTGATTCACAAGGGATCAGGCCTATGTAATCCGATCTTTCCATAACTGACTATTGTTTGAGATAGATGCTGGACTGATTGCCAAGTCCGTAAGGCGTTAGGCATTTCAAGACTGAACATATGCTCCTGTATAGCTTTGTCTAGCCTTTTCTTGAAGGCGTTCATACTCTACTCGGAGCGTCAACGATGCCATCAGGGAGGCTGTTCCACATGTCGGTGGCTTGAGGCGAGAAAAAATATTGTCGCATGGATGTGTTAAAACGCAGTTTTTCTTAGTTTATAGCCGTGGCCCGTGGAGTTGGTTCTTATTTAAAATTTTAGTAATCCATCTGGGACCTTGCATAAACCGTGGGTATAACTGTATACTTCAACGAGGTCACCACGCAGACGTCGATAACAAAGGCATAATCTTTAATCGCGGAATTATCCTTGTTGCACGTCTTTGAACACTCTCGACCTAATTTTTGTTCTTTTCTAGCTTTGGTGACCACAGGGCGTTTCGAAACCCTCAAGTTCGGACACACGACAGCAACAAACAACTGCTTCATCGCTTCTGCATCTAGGTCCCCGTAAGAGCGTCTGATCACTCCTAGTCGTTTATTGGCTTTATTAACTTGAGCTTCCATATGCTTAGAAAATTTCAATTCATTATTGATATCAACTCCTAAATTTTTTTTTCATTGTCGACTTCGACATCATCACTCTGTCGTTGCAACCTTGTCTTCACATACTGTAATCTTGCTGGTCATTGTTCTTGCCAAGGTGGATTACTTTACACTTGTCGGCATTCAAACGCAGCTGCCTCATATCAGCTCAGGCAACCAACCTTTCAAGATCGCCTTGCAACTGTACTTTTTGCGACGTATTCTTCACTGTACTATAAAACTTTTGTGTTGTCAGCATACATTAGACACAGCTGCTGGCAGATCGTTTATAAACGCAACTAATAAAACAGGCCCGATAACGCTTCCTTGTGGCACGACGCTGCGCACTGAAGCCCAGTCTGATACGGTCCCATTAATACTGACACGTTGTCGTCTCCCTACTAGAAAATCTCTGATCCATTTGAGCACATTACGCTCCATTCCCAAATACTTCATTTGATGCAACAGCGTAATTGGTGCTGACAACTGACAAAAAAATACAAATTCAATTGAAAATTATGATTATTTTTCAGATCATAGAAGACAGCATATAATGTCCCTGTAATCCGTTATATTGCTCGATAAATCGAACAATCCAAGCCGAGAGATAATTTCAATTTTATATAGACAACTGCAGTTAATCTGTGCAAATAATTTTTTTTAACTCGCCACATTATGTGCTCCCTATTCTCATGAATATAGCCAGTGAAAGGGTCATGTGACAAAACTCAGACAAATCTTTAATATATCCTCAAAAATGAAATAAAATTGAAGTGCACGCGTTTACTTCTATCTATGCGTTTACTTCATATCATATTGTAGAGAGGGGGACCCATATAGGTCCCCCTTTTTTGTCGTTTTCTATTTATTTCACGTTTTATTTCAGTTTTCCAAAAAATTCATTTCAGCAACAATTTTTTAATGATTAACATATGCGTACGAAATTTTACAAACATCTGTCATTTAGTTAAGGAGATTATTTTGAGATGAAATCTAGGGTCTAGAGTCTAGACTCTAGACCGAAGGTTAGCACGCACCTAATTCCAATTCCATTTCCCCCCTCATGAGTTTGTGAATATGTTGTGTTGCGCTGAGTGAATATGTTGTGTTGTGTTACGACTGAGGTTGACAATGAAGTCAATTAATCAATTAGAATTTTTCGAAGACAGAAATGTCTCATATACGTGGAAGCAGGGTACGTATATTACTTTGAATTAAATCTTCTTACTCAATACCTAGTATAAAGTTGACAGAATTTTTTAAGCGATGACCAATCAAAGCAATGATTGTAATATCAATAAATATTGTAATGGCTTATTTATTGAGTAGGTATATTGTGTAATTATGATCGTCTTTACAGATGATGGTCAATATAAGTAACTTCCGTGGTTCACTAAATCTCATGTCTTTGTCTGTACATTTATCTAAAATCTTTTTTATTAAATCTCCAATCTCACTACCTGTTCCTCTCAAGCCTTCTGACTACTGAAGATAGTTACGGAGACAAGACCGGCCGGAAAAGTGTTCGTGAGGTGTTGCGGAAGAGTTACAAGGGAGACTAGACATTATTTAATCATAATGATACTATTGATGCAAATTATTCCGTCAAAACTTGCAGAAGAACTAAACACATTGTCCTGCGATTTTACTATAAACCGTAATTGGCGTTTTTAGCTTCTAGTTTCGTACAGTGGCTGATGCGTCCCTTGGAAAATAGGCGGTTGATCATAACGTGAGTCATGTAAAACTAAATAAATTTTTTGAAAATCATATTCACACTAGCTATAGATCATTATATAAGTCCGATGAGGTTATTAGTCCGCTACGGATTCGCTGTGGGTAACATGTCAGTGAGGAACATGTATTTGCCACGTCGTTTGCGTCACGATAATAATGGAATAGTAATTCCTTGGACGGTTGGAGTTGGATCGAATGATGGCATGGTTTTTTGACCCGTTTTGCCACCGTTTTAGATGAACACCGAAGAAATATTACGAGACTGGTGGTGGCAAGTTACCTCCAACTATGGATTATAACGGTGAATGATCAAGAACTGCAAATTTGATCAATTCCTGGAACTTGGAAGACGATTATGACTTTCAATTTACGCCGTGAGTATCAATTTCAATTTTCAACGTCAATTTAAGTATTTAACTGAATTCACTCCAAATGAGATCAAAGCAGAAGCATTAAATACTGGGACTGGATAATGCCACAGAAAGCTTATACTTTATAGCTTTTGGAAATAGATGAAAAAATGTTTAATATAGCTACGCTGACGGCTGACGCATAGCCTACTATATTTAATAATTTATCATTTATGTAAAAGCATCCAATGCCATCCATTTACGGTAGGCCTAGTTATTCAGTAATTTTGGGTTTTATGGACATATCATCAGCTCATTCAGCTGCAGCTGATCAGCAAAAAGATTCCACTCAATCCACTGACTCGGGCACTGAGTCTTGTCTCTGTTTTGCATTTTTAATTTTGAATCTTGCAGCTAAATTATCATTTAGGTAATAACTGATGAAATTTTCCAAATGGAAATCTGCCTGTTCTAATTTAACTTCTAAAGTACAAAGCCAGAAAGCCTGCGCCTGCTGTCACCGAGTGCTGTGTGCCTGTGCTGCTGTGCAGCTGTAGCCTGTAGTGCTGTTACTTCTGAAAATTAAACAAAATTTGCTTGTTGCACCACAGGCCTCAGCCTCTACAAGACTACAGCCACAGGCATTGATTTTTTATCTACTTTCCAAGCCATTTGTAGAGCTTTTTTTATCAAATTTATTGATTAAATACATTACTGTGTATTGTGTGATGTGTATATACAAATTACAATCACCAAATTTATTTTGATTGAAAAAATATATTTTTATATATTATTTTATTCTAATTAATGAAGTTGTCTTTAAAACATTGCAATGTCCATTTTCCAATGAGGACTGACCAGGGCGCAGAAGGTGGAAGCAGCGTCGCCAATATATGGGTTTTTAAGCCCAAAGCGTCGCCGACCATTTTTAAGATGCGTCGCCAGGTAATTTTTAATGAAAAGCCATTTACGCTGAGTAATGACGAACTATTTACAAGCCATGAACTTATTTACAAGGTTGCATGCACGTGTTACCCCAAATAACTAATTTTACCCTAAAAACAGTCCGATTGTACAGCAAGTGTCAACTGAACATGTAATAAAGCAGTCTGACCGCTCTAATGTGACCGAAACTACGCAATCAAAAAAACGTTGTTTACATTTTTTGCGGGAACTCATCGCAACTGATTTCCAGACAAGCTTTGCTGCATCATAATCCATCCAACGTACCGGAAACCTTACTTTTTTTCTAAATAGTTGGCCGAAGACTGAGAAATATATTAAATGCAAGAATTTCAATCTAAATGTGTCGGCAAGATCTTCTGAAGGCAAAAATTTGGCTACTGAAGCGTTGCCAAAGATCTTGCAATATTCATCCACTCTCTGCACAGTGGAGGACTGACAAGATGGTCCTGACTGGCAGTGGCAGACTGCTGAGCCACTGGAATGGCTAAATTTTAGTACACTCTCTGGAGCCTGGACCAACTTTGATAGAAATAAAACAATTGTAAAATTTTCTTAATTTTCTTATTTGCATACAACATTTTTATTATATTATTTTTAGTTATGTAAACGTTGTTAGTAATTTATGAAAATAGAAAACTCATGCACGTATAATACATATACTGATATAGGTACACTTACAATTGGGAGATCAAGCAAGCCATCACAATGAGGCTAAATGACTAATGCCTCTGGAGAATTTTATCCATGCCCATGTCTCAAGTAAAATTTCTGTTATAGAATTCAATAAAATTGAACATACTTACTAACAATTTTCATAGAACAATGTTAAATGAATGTTCTTCCCCAAAATATTTAAAAACTATTCTGCTGCTGTCGTTGCTCAATGTTTTCATCTCCCTTTGCAGGTAACGTAGAATTGTTATACGTTTTTCTTGCCTTGATTCTCAAACATATACTAATTGACAGCAACTCCCTTTGTAAAAGTCTAATTGGGTTTTTCTTATTTTCAGTTTAGGTCCCTTGAAGGCAGTTGCCAGTTGGTATTGAATACCTTATACCAGTTCTTATCATCACCTGGAATCTGCTCAATATTTGTCATCAATGGACAAGATGAGGCCACCTTTGTTTTCTTCTCCAACTCTTTCCTATAAGGTTGGATCTTCTACTATGAGAATTCAGGTAATAATTGCTATGTTTTTCTGTGTTGTGGAATGTAATGAGGATATGTTATTCCTCTTGGCCACCTGGAAAATGGTTACATATCAATAATGAAATTTGTATGGCTCTGTTCAATCAAATTTGAGATGATACATTGAATCAATAACATTGTAATTATATTGTGTTTCTATTTTATAGTCATTCCACCAATCTGAAAAAATGTCAAGATAATCTAAATCTATGCATGTAATATATATTATTGGCATAAAATCAGAAAAATTGAGTTGAATATTTATTAGCAGCTGAGCATCAATTTATATTATTAGTTGATGGAGTGATAATTAATATTATTATTGGTTAGTGAAAATTTATTTAAAAACTATACCTATATCTGATCTGAGTAAAGTCAAATAATAATATAAGTTTACATAGTACAATTAATGTGCAATCAATACTCTATCTACAAATTTACAATCAATTTTGAAACTGAGATTAACAGCATCACTACTGATTAAAAATGCTAGTTTCCTTCCTCAACATCATTATTACTTCTGTTTAACAGATCATCATATTTCCACATTTGGAGAATAATATATCCCCTCCTCTATTTTTATGCAGACCAAGTTTGTCACAGCCGTTGCTCTCATTGGAGTTGGTGTTTTGCTTCTTCTGTATGTTTTGGTGCCGTCATCACGCACCACAGACTACCATTACCATTCACCTCTTCAATCTCTGAATTCTTATTATCTGAGCAAGTCATCTAATGGTTTTGGTGACAAGATGCAATTAAAACATGAAAATTCAGCTGATGTTGCTGGAACCAGTCATTCTCCATCTCATTGTGTTCCCACACCTTATAACAGGTAAGTTCTTGACAGAATGAAATTTTAACTCTTTCTTTAAATAAGGTAAAAATTTATGCCTCATTAACAATTTGATTGAAACAGTGATTGTATTTACTTCAAAATTCAGAGCAATATAGCATTTACTACATCAATTTTGCATTCCAGCTTTAGTTCAAGCAATTTCTCTAAATAATGCACTTCTAGTCAGGTTCTGATGAATGCTCTATAAATGAGTAGATCTGAGCTTCAAACCTGAATAAAATCTAACAATTTGATGAAATTAGCACTACTAATTACTTCATACCACAGAAATATTCTCCTGAAACTTTTTTTTATTTCTGTCCATAGTGCGATTCCTGTTAATTGCTTCATATTCTATGTGATATATTGTGAATAAATGATCTCCACATTCAAATATTATGCTGGTCAAAATGAGCAGTTATTTGGACTACTGTATATTGTTATGCAAGATTGAACAATTCATGCCATTTATGATTTTCGTGAATTAAAAAATTTCTCATAGGTAACATTTGAGTGTTACTAAATATGTAAATCTGTCATTTGCATTATAAATTAATTGTCTTATTATATACCGGTAAGTAGCTTGGAGTTCATCTCATCTTTGTTATTGATTGGAATTTTGAGTAAGGTCATTGACATGCATTTCTATCTTTCCAGCACCTACCCTTTCACGAAGACTGTAGTTCTGGAGAAGCGCGGTGTAATGCGGTACAGAATTGCTGTGGTTGCTGACCTAGACACTGACAGTAAAGACACTGTGGAAAACCACACTTGGAATAGTTTCATTAGAAAGGCAAGTATGAGGAATTTAATTTTGCTTCAAAACATTACTCAGTTAATCATTAAAATCTGACAAAGTTTGCATAATAAACTATAGTACACTTGCCTGAATTTATTTGAAAACGATAGGAAGTGCTTCTTTAATAGACTTGTGTTATAGATTTTTTGTTGTAAGTTTCTTGTCATTTTAGCTCACGGGTGCCATTAACTGTCAATACTCAGTTAGTAAGAGCAGAGTTAACTTGTTCAGCTCGTCAATGGGAAATTATATTTATTCTCTGAATCATATATATTTTTAAATCAAAGTTCGAATTTTAAAATCTGATCTTAAAGCTTTCATTTTACACCTGCAGGGATACCTTGAACTTCACCGAGAATACAGAAGCGCCGAAGTGTCTTGGGACGCTGACGTAATCAAAGTATCGTCGAAATTGAGCTACGGCGGCCGTGGTCTAGAGTTGAGCGAGCTGGTGGTGTTCAACGGGCGCGTGTACAGCGTGGATGACAGGACGGGCGTTGTGTACCGCCTCGACCCTGTCACACATGGCATTGTGCCTTACGTTGTGCTCACCGACGGTGATGGCAACAGCGAGAAAGGTGACAGTGCTGGACTGGGCCTATACTTTCAAACAAAGTTAAGATATCGTAAGTTCATCAGCCAATCATTGACGGCCTTTCAAGTAAATCCACCAATCATAGACAAGAAAATAGAGCATAAGTACTTACGTTCACTTAGCGAGTTTTGAAAGTATGGCCCCTGATCCTTGGCATTATTTTTTTCGGATGCAGGTTGAAATTGAATCCTTGAACTCTCGATGGACGATTTTGTATGATTATTGCATGGGTAGCTAAGATATAGATTTTCTAACTAATGTTGTTTTAGTTTCTATTACGGAATATGTAATGCATGCAGTTATTATTTCAGAAAGTCAGTTTTTTTTCACTAATCATATAGAAATCAACGCGTTTCAGCTAATTGTTGCTCCCAGGTTTCTTCGACCACTTGATTTTAAATTTGTCAACTGGTGATTTTGAAATTCCATTCCATTTTTAGACTATCTCCGCTAATAAGTTTAATTCTGGATGGGAAATTTTACTAAATGAGGTTGCAGTTTATTGTACTGTGTCTTTAAGATACAGTTCTGTTTTGATTAAGATTAGATATATTTCAAGTAGATTTTTACATTCCCTCTCAAAAGAAGGTAGTAAAAGGCGCAGTGTATGTCATAAAACGTACAATATAAATTATGTTTTAATAGATTACTTGACGTTGCTGGTTTGGTTCTGGAGTGGCATTTCTTCCTACGAGCGTTTATACGTGCGAAATATTTGAGTTATGAAAAGTGTTTCAGGAAATGAACATTTCACGGAAAAAGTTGAGTCCCAAGTTTGCACTCTGAAGCATGTTCTCTTGGGAGAGTTAGTATCTAATCATTATGTTATAGTCCAAAATCTCATTTTCGTTTTCGAATTTTTTTTTTCATTAAAAATTGTTTTTATTGCTGAGGCTATTTTTAAATGCATTCACGTTTTGAGTAAATATCTTAAAACATATTAATTCAACAGTACAGTCTAATCAATAACATTTTCTACAGTAATCTTTACATGAAAGTGTTAGTAAGGTTTAATTAAATTTATGAGTAAGTTTTGAAACTCTCCTAAAGGTTTCAAGAGCGAGTGGGCGACTGTGAAGGACGAGGTGCTGTACATCGGAGGGCTGGGCAAGGAATGGACCACCAGCACCGGAGAGATGATCAACCACAACCCACAGTGGATCAAGACCATCAATTCTCAGGGACAAGTGCACAACCACAACTGGACTGAGCGTTACATTCAGCTGCGTAAAGCTGTTGGCATAGAATTTCCTGGTGAGTTTTTATTCGACGTGATGATTCTACTTTAGTAGGGTATTGGGTTATTACGGCGGTAAATATGAACTTTAAACAACGCTTAAATTTGAAACTTGATACCTGTTTTTTTAAATGTTAGTTAATCCAACTTAATAAGGAAATTCTAGAATGTAATGTTTCTTGGTGCATATTAATTCCGTCCTAACCCTAAAATGGTCGCATGGTAAAAACTGTTCACATTAGCATGTTTTCGGCCGGTTTCGTTGCGATCGACTTTCGTATGCATGTATTACACACGTTATCCACCCAGCCAATGAATTTGCCAGTTCGTACAGTAGTGTGTTTGAATGATGTCTCAATGCAGCCTGCAAGATTTGTTTTCAACACAGTGTTTTTAGATTAGTCTCTAGCCCAGAGAAGTAGTGACGAAATTGTGGCATTCATGGGCTAGATTGAGAATAACTGCCAGTATATTATCTGAATAATTTACACATCAGCATGTATAGTGGAGTATTGCTCATCAGGCCTGGACTTGAAATGAGAGACGGAAAAATTTGAACTTGCTGATGCTGTTTTCCTAGAATTTCATCAGATAATCATTCATGGACGGTTTTCAAAGGTCTCATTCGTATGCTCAATTTTTCACGCGTTTAAACTTCGATGAGTTGAGTTCACTTGAACGTTGTACTATCAGTTGTTTTTGATGATCTATCATTTTTCCTGTCCAAGTTTGATAGGAAAAATTGTTATTGTTATTTGGGTTTAGCCACAGCACTGAGCCACTAGAATGTATAGGGTCGACACGTAGCGTGAATAGTTGTTGTTATGGTTCCCCGGTCTCATTTTTACAAGAGAATAGTACTGTCAACTGGGGTGACTTCGGCCGCGTTTTTGATTTTGTTTTGCAAACAAAAGCGGGGTCATAAACGATGACCAAAGTCACTCCGGCGTTTATGACCTCGTTTACGACCCTGGCGTTTATGACCCCGGCGTTTACGACCCCGTTTTTGTTTGCAAAACAAAATAAAAAACGCGGCCGAAGTCACCCCGGCGGCCGAAGTCACCCCAGTTAACGGTAGTTATTATTGATAAAGTATTTAACTTATTCTTGGCCTGCAGGTTACATGATCCACGAGGCAGTGTCATGGTCACCTCACCGCCGGGAATGGGTGTTCCTACCACGCAGGGCGAGCCCCCAGCCCTACGACGAGAAGACTGACGAGCGACGGGGCACAAACCTCATGCTCACCGCGTCCGAAGACTTCACTCGTATTACCCACGCCACCGTCGGCGAAGTCATCGACACGCACGGCTTCTCCAGCTTCAAATTCGTACCAAACACGCGCGATGAAATTATTTTAGCTGTGAAGTCTGAAGAGGTGGATGGGAGAACGTCTTCCTACATCATGGTATTCGATATAAAAGGGCGTATTATTATGCCGGAAACTAAAATTGATGAACATAAGTATGAAGGGGTAGAATTTTTTTAACAATGATGAGCCTTCTAGTCTATTATGGTTTTAATAATTTCAATATCACGCGTTTTCATTAGCTAATGCGTGTTTCTCTATTTATTCTGTTATTTATGTATTATGCTAATCGCATTTTCATAATGCCCTGCTTCTACCAAACTCTGATGAGTGAATCTTTAGTTTCCGAAAAAATTTGGCGGTATCTTAAAACTCAATATCACCGGATCATAGATAAATTTGTGATTATTACTCTAATTTGTACCCACTGAATCCGTATTTTATTTTAGGTCAAAGTTTTCATAGAGTAGAATCGAAGTGTCGATCAAATTTTTAGTGTCAAATAGAAGTCAAAGAAGAAGTGTCAAATATGTAGAAGTCAAATTTTTGTGCACTAAGTTATTGGATCGTGCAATAAATTATATTATAGCTTGCCGGCTTGCGCCTGATGTCTTGGAATGAGCATTTGTTGTGCAAGTGTTTGCGCTTTAGCGGTCGAATATTTTGTCATGCTGGTCCACAATGTTATCGCTGACATTTGTTGTTGTGTCAAATTTGCGCTCTTGTGTACCAAAAATTCGACTTTAAGCACTCGGAATTATCGAGATGGTTTAGCAATGGTTTTTTAAGCGGGAGAATGGGAAATAATTTATTGAAATAGACTTTTGAATTGTTTTATATAAATAGACTTGAATTGTTTTATAGAAAAAATTCAAATTAGAATTTTAGTAAATTCAATTTTCAACGGAATTCACTTGGCAGCAATGTATATACTGTCGTAAGAGTTCTTGAAATGTAATTTTAACGGCGAGTCTTCACATTTCACTGTATCGGCATTCATTACAATACTTCGAGGCTCTCAATCGTTAATTTTTGATGGCTTTCAATTGATTATCTTGTGACCTTCAATACCAAATCATTATGAAATCAGACTTAATTTTTACGTCTTGGGACATACATTTGAGTACAATTCATGCTTAGGAAGTAGTTTCAAGCTTCGAGTTAATCCTAAATTACAGCGTCTTTGTGCACATGATGTTATGCAATGCTTTGCTGGCTTCTTCAGACTCGTGCACAGCTAGCAATGCGAACCCACAGAGCAGAAGCAAGCCAGGCTCATATTCAACCAATGACAAAATATGATCCTTTATAAGGTTGTAATAATTTTAATCTTGCCCCCCTGAGTCGAACCTTCCTTCTTTCAACTCCAATTTCTCATCCTTGTCTTTTCATTGCAGAAATTAATCAAGAAGTTTCAATTGTTATCAAGGTTCCACGGTGTTCTTGTGTATCATTTTACCATGCATTACCTCTTCTGGTAAACCTAATTTCAGTACAAGATTGAATACATCTGAAATCAGTTTGTCAGCTCATTTCAGCCTGGTAGTGCAGGTACATGACTTTCCTTGTACGGGTCAGTTCAGTATGGCAATTTATAAATAGTTTTTGGTAGAGGGATGTTGCAAGATGAACCGTCGAGATATTAAGGGAGAGAAACGTCTCCAGAAAAACAATTTTGCGACACAAAATCGTTTTTAATGCATAAATGGGAAGAAGAAGAACCTTCGAAAAAATAATGGCCATCCATGCAGCAAAATTCAGTATTAGGTAGAAGCTTCTTGCCATGAAAGCTCGTACTTGCAGGTTTCGCTTTCTAGCCTACGATAGTATTAATGCCTTTAAAGTTTAAATCTGATCCAAAAAAACATGCACCGTGCGCGAAGAAGAAAAGTTTCAAAGAAAATGATGAAGTTTACTTACGAATGCCTAGGCATTGCCTCTGTGACAACTATCGACGCGTCATGTGAAAGCGCGACTTCAAAGCAACCAAGCTCGCCGTAAAATCTTGTACTGACCACCGGTGCAATAATGACATTTCACTTGACCCATGCTTTTAATCACTGAGCCGATAATTGGCTAGCCAGAATATCGGAGAAGCGTCTAAAAGAAAGTTGAGTACAGAAAAGTATGAGAAGAGGGTATCCGAAAAGCCTTGGAAAAATGATAGTAATCAAATTAGTTAATAGCTGAGCCGATAATTGGCTAGCGAAAATATCGGAGAAGCGTCAAAAAAGAAAGTTGAGTACAGAAAAATATGAGAAGAAGGTATCCGAAAAGCCTTGGAGAAAATAATAGTAATCAAATTATGGTATCAGACTACCGTTAATTCGAGAGAAAGTTGGGCATAGATAATTAACAAGTAATAATATAAGAGAAGAGTTATTTTGTGTGAAAGCGCCACAAGCAGAGTAACAGACTTGTCATTACTTGCACAAGAGTAAAAGGGGAAAAAATTGCATGGTGCAAGTAATGAAGAGATGTTCACATTCAAAGACATCAAAGGTATTACTTTCATATGTACCTAAATAATACCAATATGTCATCAATATTTCTGGGGCGTGAGAACAAATTAATATAGTTAAACCAAGTAAAACTATTACTTTAATAACGTCTTCTTGGTCCAATCCGTTCATACGTTTCAAGGTGATACGTTAACAAAAATAAAGTGCAGGTAACGAAAAAAATTAATTTATTCTACACATGTTATGGAATTTCATTGAAGAAACCGATAGCAAATCTGAAATGATAACAAAAATGACGTTTCTACATTGCAAATGATCATTTTTTTTAAACATCAAAAGCATGTTTAAATACATATTTGTTGGATCCAAATTGTCACGAATCAACATTGTTGATAAACATAGTTCACGTACGTCATCATTTACTCGTGTTATAAGGTAACGTACGAAGTGAGATTAATCAGAGACGATAGTTACAATTAGCTAAAAAATAGTTAAGTTTAATGGACAACAGACGACAGTGGAGACGTCACTGGCAAGGAAGCTCAATCTTCTTGAACGCCAAAGCCGTGTATATATCTGAAAAATAAAAAAATATAACTCAGTACTCACTGCAGTGAGCGACAGAGAGCGCATTTTCTCGTCGACGAAAACTTGAGGTCACGGACGGACGGACAGACAGACAGACGGACATGGCGAGCACAATAGTGCATTTTTTCCATAAACGAGAAAATGCGCTAAAAGGGAAATTAAAGAGAAGTTTAAACCCACAATATTTTTGCACGCCACAATAACATCCTTTATGTCTGCCACACATTAAGAAAGACAAACGAGAGACGATGTACTAGCAAAAATAAGTATAGGAATAGACTCAAAATATGGACAAGTAAACAAAAGCGGTCGACGTATGGGCAAGAAGAGAACGGGGGTCTTAAGTTCTACAGGGTAAGAGTTAATGCAACATGAATTTGTAGAGATCATTACACAATTAATTTTTATTGACTTCTTCAAAATCCTACTTAACAATGCCTAACTATTTTAGCAAGAACAATTTGCTTAGATCACAAGGTAAACTATTGACTAATTGCCTTTGATTTAAATAAAATAAAATAAAAATACAGTAAAGCTATAACAAAATATTCATTTAAAAATAATTCTAACAAGGTGAGGCGATCATTATAGTTTTAAAGACATAATCATATTGTTCATACAGAGTTTTTGTGATTTTTAATCATACGTTTTGAAGAGGTAAAGTTGTGATAGCTGAAAGGTTTGCAGTAATGGATGTTGATATTGAACGAAACATTTGTTCTGATCTCGGCCGGAAATTCAAATTTGCAAGCAATTCTGAATATATAATTAAATACAAATTTATCACTCATGAAGAAAATGCTCTTTGCTTTGATTACGTTCGATACAACTTAGATAATATTTTAATAATTCAAGTTATGTAATTTTTGCAGTCGTACATTGAAAATGTTCTTTGGTTATATTGTGTGATTCCAACGTAGTAGTCAAGTCTTTTGTTCTGTTAGCTAATGAAACAGTTTTTTCTTTTCTTTATAAACTGTAGCAATAAGTTGCCTGAACAACAACCATTACACCTGGATATTATTATCCTGTAATTTGATGATAGCCCCGTATGCAATGAGTGGTGGCTTGGTTGATTTATGGACCGCAAGGATTACTGGTAGCCTGCCACTCGAAGGACTAAAGAGCTTACTGGTAGCCTGCCACTCAGAGGACTAAAGAGCTTACTGGTAGCCTGCCACTCGGAGGACTAAAGAGCTTACTGGTAGCCTGCCACTCGGAGGACTAAAGGGCTTACTGGTAGCCTGCCACTCGGAGGCAGAGAGTGTGAGGGTGCAAGGTCTGACGTTCGAGTCGCTCTGCTGCTGCTTAAGATGTTCGCAAGCTGCCACGTATTCCTGAGAGTTGCTGCTGCTCTGGGTGCCGGAGGGGCTGGGGTATGGCTGAAATGAACATAAAATAGGATAGAATTTGATCAGGAGAAACAACAGAAACCTCAAATTAACATTTAGTTATACAAGTAAAATTTATATATTCCCTATCAAACATATCTGAAAATAGGCACTCCATTTTAATGATACATGTAAGTTAGGTACATGCGTGCATTGCATGCAATCAGAAATGCTGTCAGCAAGTAGGATCAGGATTAATTGCTTAAATAACCCTGCAATACTCTCATATCGTTTCAGGCTTTGAGATCTTATGAACACATCCATCCTTTATCCATAACCTGGAAAAAATTTCTATAATGCGGAACATTCATAAATGAAGGCTTAAGCTAGGATTTATGTCAAAAACAGACTTAAGGAACATTGCGGCAAAAGAAAAATAATTCTGGACCAACACTAACCGCCATCACACAAAAAATAAATAAACTTCAGTAACATTATAATGAAATCTGGACAGTTGGTAAACGAGCAGAATAGCATATGAAAACTGTGCACTTTGATACAGAATTAAACAGCTAAAAATAATATTTTTAATTAAATCTGTACAATGCACGCAATAACAAATAATTTGCTATGTAAATATAGTGACTTTTTGTGAAATTTTCTTTGATATACAAATTTTTAAGCAATACACAATTGAATTGATCAAATGATATGAATAGGTACTCGAATTATCACTTTATACATTTTTAATTAATACGCAGATAAATCAATCAAATAAATTTATACATCTTGACACTGGTATTAAGATCACTTAATGTATCTTGATACATGCATTACCATCAAATGATGCATCTCCATACAGATATTAAGATCAACTTATAGATTTCTATACATGAATCAAGACGAACCATGAGATTAAAATCAATTGATACACTCCAATAAATGAATTAAGATGAACCATGATGGGATTAAAATCAACTTATACATTCCAATAAATAAATCAAGATGGACCTTTTAAAGACACCACTCACCTCGAGAGCACTCATCTTCTGCAGCAGCATGCGGCTCTGCTCGTCCTGCATGGCATCCTTGTAGACGTCGGAGAATCTTTTCTGGTATACGCATTCCAAGCCATACTTCAGGCACAGTCTGTACATCATGAGAATAAAACAGATTTCAAGCCATACTTCAGGCACAGTCTGTACATCATGAGAATAAAACTGATTGCAAACAATCTTGAAATCTTGTTGCATTGCAAAGTCTGAAACAACATTTGACACGCTCTTTATTAAAAAAATTTCCTCATCTGGTTAAATAAGAAATTAAAATCATTATATAGATTTAAAACATTAAAAATCATTATTAACCTAAAACATAGTTAAAGCATATAAGGATATTGTTAATACAAGGCAACTAGTATTATTAAAATCCTTCAAGGAAGGAATTTGATTAAGTACAGAAGAACCTTGGGTAATGACAATAATCTGTTCTTCATTAAGTTCAACGTTAATGGAAATGTTCCTTACCCAAAAAGTTTCCCTAATAAGAAAGAATGGAAATAGCAATAATTGGTTCCCAGCCCTAGTATGTGAAGATACAGGCTCTATATATATGTTTTTTAAATGAAAATGAAACAGTTATAAATGGAGATAAATATAAACATAAAAAACAGTAAAGAAAGCTATTAAACCTAAAAAACATTTATACAACTCTATCTCAATGGGCTCCATTTTGAGAAAAAATCAAACATAATCATGAATAAAAAGAGAAATTTTCATGACTCTTAATGGTATAAACTATAATCTATTTTTGAATGAAGGTAATATCCCTCAAATGAAGGTAATATCCCTCATTTTACGTGTCTATGAATAAAAATATGGAGAAGTACCAACATATGCATTCAACATAAGCATTTATGTTCCAGTTAAAATGATTTTTTGCAACAATACAAACATAATAAATCGCTCGAATAACACATGTGTGTGATCATGGTGTCAAATGAGACATTTTTAGCAGTCTTCTTTTTTACTATGCAAGCTGCTCCAAAATTTTAATCAACATCTATTCATGATTATGTCAGTATTCACAAATCTTAACTCACATACTATGACTCATGTGACCTAAAATTTCCAAATCATCTGATGTAAATCGTACCTGAAAAAGTGCCTTATTTATCTGAAAAGAAGTACAGAGGCTGTACTATAAAAATTTTTTATGAGATTGTGACTCCACCTGCCTATCACTGCGAGTTTTTAAAAGTTAAACCCACCAATCACAGGCAAGAAATGGTACGCTTCATGTACTTATTGTACTTACTTTAACGAGTTTAGATAGTGCACCCCGAGTCAGGTAAAATACACAAGGCAAGTATACTCACCTCTTTAATGTAGGTTGGTGAACAAGGAACTCTGGACAGTCGACCGCGCCTTCCAAGAAAAATTGGTAGCGATCCCCGAACAACAGAGGCACCTCTGGTCGATCATCGGGGAATTCAATTCGAAAAACTTCATTCCCAAAAGCATTGCTTTTTTCAGATGATAACTTTTTCCTTTAAAAATCAAAGAATGAAATGCAAAATGAAAAACAATGGTCACAAATTTAGAAAAATATTCTTTCACATAGTTAATAACAATGTAAGTTTCACGGATTAAAATGTTTTAAATTTTTCTGCACTACAGGGATCTCTTTTTCTTTTAGCTACAAACAAAATTTATCGATTGAACTGTACATGAATCTAAGATGAGCATATTTTAATAAGTATTTGACACTAACAACACTACACTTACATTATGTAATTGGCATCAGGTATCGTGAGCAAAAAAAATCCACCAGTGGCGAGATTGGAGGCGGCATTTTTGACCATAGTTTCAGCTTGTTGCAGCGACTCGAAGCAGTAGTGGAAGGCAAACTGACAGGAAACTATATGTACCCTACGAGTGGGATCACCAAGTAAAGACTGGAAGCACACCTGCCAAGATAATAATTATTAAAGAATAGTTTCCCTACATAAAACAAGAACTTTCAACAATCATCTGCATGCTTAATCGATATCAATATGAAGGGGTCTCCTGTAAAAGGGAGACTGGGGAACCCCAACAACATCAAAATGCGGAATTGACTTACAGTGTCTTTTCTGCTCTCTAAATTTGAAGTCTTGAAGCAACTTTGCATCACGTCTATCTTGAAGCATTTTATAAATAATTCAAGCATTGCACAGGCTTCCCTTACTGATAAGATTCAGAGGAAACACAAATACAAAAACAATAATTATTTCTGCACTTCTTTTTTGTTATTAAATGTGCCTGCAGAACAGGCTATTGATGAGTGCAAAATTATTGAATTTCTACAAAGTTTTAGCAAACATTTTTTAATGATATCTTCCCTTTGTGATCATTGAGATGAATAGGGAGAAAAAGGTAAAGGCCTAACAACATGCAAGATAAATCAAACCATGAAGCTAGCATCTCATTCATAATATACAGCCTATGCATTTATATGTCCAAATTAGGTGAGATATCTGTCAGCACTTCAAATCAAATACTGTGATGTAAAAACTAAAGCTTTAAAAAGACTTGTTTCTAGACAGCACTTGAATAGAAAACAAATAACATGTATAGGATTTTTACAGACTTAACATCAATGATTTGTTAGGTTTCTACCTAATAAAATATTCCACTCGTTTCAATTTTTATATTTTAGTCAACTGCCATTCTAGCAATCAACTCTTGTCTGCTGGATCATATCCAGCATCATAAATTGGTATCAATTCTTCTTTTTTTGTTGGAATGGAATGGTTGGAATCAAATCAATTCTTTTTTTGTTGGAATGGTGAGTGTGGGAGGCCTTTAAAAAAAATAAATTGGTATCTTATTGGATTTAATAATAAAAATAATCTAAATCAATAAATCACTCAGAAGCAAAAAATTGTAAATCTCAAAATGCCAAGCAATGGCCATACTTTTAGTAAACAAGTTGGGAGATCAGCTCCAGAATCTATTCAAATTCAAGAAAAAATATGAAATTATCTTAGCATAGGTACCGTATTACAATTGAATAATTTGTTTGAATATTGCATTCAATTACTATGAACTTGAATAGTATTCATAGTTTTGTCCCCACTAATTTGCTTTTCAACTATTAAACTTTGCCTGCAAATTAAATTTGAAAATATTCAATAATATGAACTGGTTACACTTGTTTTCTCATCAAATTTCAATTGAGTTTGTTGTTCATGCAAATTTAAATAATTCTCCCATAGTTTCTTTTGTTTCCAAATCTCAAAAGATAACAATCAACTGCTTGCAACTTAATTGGCCATGTTTTCTCAAGGTCTAAAAACGTATTTTTTGCATTGTTCCATGTCAAATAACATCAATATTTGAATGTAATGCAGAAATTTTAGGGAATTAAAAATATCAAAAACCAGTGTGACAACATTACTACATAGAAATAAATTTGTTATGTAGATCAAAATGCTCACCTTTGTACAGTCTGCCACAATGAATTCCGCTGAGAACCTGGGTGCTCCAAACCTCTTCTGTTTGTTGAACTCATAGCGCTCTTTGCACTGTCTTACTGAGGTCTCAGCGATGTCCACACATATCAGGTGCCCAATATTGGCCTGAGAGAGAGGGTTAAAAATAAAAACCTAATGCATTTGGAAGCTTTGGCCTCAAATTATGAATATCACAAAGATGAATAAGGCAGGAATTTGTCCACACATATCAGGTGCCTGATGGCCTGAGGTATCAGGTGCCCAATATTGGCCTGAAAGAGAGTTAAACATAAAAACCTAATGCATTTGGAAGCTTTGGCCTCAAATTATGAATATCACAAAGATGAATAAGGCAGGAATTTGTCCACACATATCAGGTGCCTGATGGCCTGAGGTATCAGGTGCCCAATATTGGCCTGAAAGAGAGTTAAACATAAAAACCTAATGCATTTGGAAGCTTTGGCATCAAATTATGAATATCATAAAGATGAATAATAAGCCAGGAAATTGTGTGATGAGATTCAGTAATTGATATTATAGTAGAACTAGGACAATGATGTTGTTTAGAATAAATGAGAAATGATTATTTATCTAAAAGGTCAATTAATTTTGATGCTAAAAATGCAAATCAAAATGATGAGTTGTCACGCAAAGCCATTGTAGTACACGAGATGATTTTTGAATACCGGTACCTCAAATTCAACAGATGAGTATGAAAAGGCATTATGAAACAATATGTAACTAACATCATCTTGTAAGATATGTCTACTCTAATTACTTAAAAAATACCATATTTGACTATTTCAGCAACTGTGAATATTAAATATGGTATGAAAGGCAGATTATGGAAGATTCTTGAATAATCAATCCTTAATGTACCTACATTGAATAACTGAATCCTTAATACAAAATGAAGGTTAGATGGCTGGAGAAAGCAAATGTTCTTTTATTGTGATAGTTGCAACATTCAGTTCATCTAGATTAATATTGATTGATGACCAGAGTGTCAATTATATTGTTCATTTTATCCATGAGTTGAACAGTATTCATCTTGGCATTGGCAGATCAAAAAGAAGGTTGTTAGATGACATTTTAACAGATTTGTGATGTTTAAAAAATTAAAATATTCAATATCAAGTGAAACGAAGGTTTTGCAACACCTACATGTTCCTTGACATGCATAATATATATTTATTCAAACTGAGTTAAGACCTTTATTAAAATGACTTTTGGCAAAATTCTTTTTAATCAGCCAAAGAAAGTAGGAAAATTAAATAAAGCAATAAATATAATAAAGAATAAGCAACTCATTCAAAAATCAAACAAGAAAATTGTTAATAAAATCCTTTTTCTGGTCTTCAATCTAATTTGTATAAAGAAACCACTTCCACCAAACTACACTAATCTGGGCAAATGAAGTTAATTTGAGTACATTTTAAACAGCTCCTGGCAATGCTTGCTTAAGTATTAAGTGAAGTGAATGACATTTCCATCTACAAGCCTCAGTTTCATTTTCAAGAGAACTCATTTAGTCAGTACTTTTATTTGCTAATGATGCTAATGATTAGTTTTAATGATTAGTATACCTATATATAATAGATGAATTTATCTTTCTTAATAAGTAGAATCAGAGAAATAAAGTTTGATTCCCAACCATTTGTATCTTTTCCAATGGATTTATTCACAAGGTTAAGTACTTTTACCAGCAAGGATAATTTCTTGTATCAGAAATTCAAAGGAAAAATATAAGGGAAGTAGGTACTGTGCGTAGGTAACAACCATCATCAAGCCATCATTTACTTTAGTTTTAACATGAACCAAAAATTCCAGGGAACATGTACATTAACTCATGTTCCAACATACAAGAAACAAGATACTTTTGAACACTTCAAGTTATGTGCAACTCATTCCCATGCAGGAAAAATTGAAAAATTACAGAAAATAAAGGTCACTCTTACTTACTATACAAATGTAATTTATAAAGGATACATAGTATCACTTGGGCACTTGATCCCTGACTTGATTACTGACCTTTGTCCACTTGAGAAGATCGCCTCCTTTGCCACAACCCAAATCAACTGCAGCCAAGGAATGAGTGTGGAAATTTTCTCTAACCATGTTCATAAATTTATTTATAAGGTAACTCTTGATCCAATTGTTGAAATTTCTCATATATAGGATACGACTTTCATTGCGAGCCGACAGTCCTTTCTCTTCCAAATTGTTGTAGTGGCCAGCAACAATCGATCCTGTGGATAAATCAAGATGAATTAATTTTTAACTGGAATATTTACTGGGAAGATTGGAGCTAAAAAAGTCTCAAATTGCTGAAAACACTGAAGACGACAAGACAGAAGTATCAATAGCATGTTGATAGTAGCAAGACACAGAAATGAAAGCAATGCTCTACAAGAGGTCTATTTTTTAATTGGAAGTTAAAATTATTTGCCAAAAATATCAGAAAAATAACTACTTGTGTTAAGGATAATTTGATTCACAAGGAATCACTGTACCTATTCCCCATGGGGGTTAAACACTCATTTCCTGATTCATATTTGAATTTACTTCTTGGTACCAGTAGGTAGCTTATTTGGTGCTCCTCGAATATAGACCTTATTTTTTGTTTACAAATAAAACTTAATTGACACTCATTTCTGCATCTGTATTAATTACTTGTTTATTAATAAATTACTGCCCATTCATTCACAAGATCAATATTTACAAGCACCAACAGTAGGTACCTATATAATTTTTTCTTGAGTGATCAGGGTTGTTACATGTAATAATAATCAAGTTAGGATTTCTACAAATTAATTTTTCCTGCTGTTTAGAACCTGTAATTATGATGAATAAATTAGCAATAGAAACTTTAATAAAAGTATACAGTAAATGAAAATAATCTATAAAGAAGAATGCATGATGATCAAGTTGTGTGTATGTTAAGTTACTTGTGAGCAGCCTTAAAAATACATTGAATGAGAATTACCCTAATGGTCCACAGGATTTATAAACATCTTTATAATAGAAAAATTGATAAAGTATATGTATCCACTTACCCAGAGGTTCTTCAAATTTCCTCTTGATAGACCCAGTGGGTGGGTTTTCATTTGAAGCAGGATTATCTTCTATCACATTATTAGTAGGATGCAACATGCTGGAACCAGCAGCATTATTTCTTATGGTTGAATTACAGCTTGACACACTGGCCATCTTAAGCCTGCAAAATGACTATGAAAATCTCAAAATGCTTCAACATGAGGGCAAAAAATCAATAATATTAAAATTATGGTTAATATAAATCAAATTTTCTATTAGAGAATTGTAAGCCTGCTTTTCAGAATTGATTACAAGCCCACAAGCAGTATAGTGACATGTAAATGTAGATATTATAGAATAGTTTAAAAGCCATTAGCTATGTACCTATATGTCTAATGAAGATCCATGATTACTAAAAAAGGAAAGCATTGCTAATAGATTAGCGTAACTTGGACACATATATACATATTTATATATTATATGTATAAACTGCCACTGCCTGTATATAAATTAATTTAAAATTGAATCATTCAATTTTTCTCAGAGAAAATTAGCTCCTTGAGAGCATCAGTTTCCACTCTTTTTTACGTTGAAGTAACACTTGAAAGATGCAAACAGATAACACCTTCAATTTTAATTTTAGTTAGGTATATTCAATCTTTTATAACTAAAAACTTAGTGTAATGAATAAGTGTACAGTTCAAATTTTCTACCATGCTGTCCTTCCATCAGCATTTCTGTCCTGCAGGACCTGGATTTTTTTATTTATCAGGATTTTTTTATTTGGCAAACCAAAAATTTTGTTTTATACGTTGAAGAAACTAATAACTCGCATAAGGAAATTGTCAACCAAACAAATTTTAGGGTTTCAATCAGTTCAATGGAACCTGCTTAAAGGCCAGGGTGCAGAGGATGCAAGCAGCGTCACCAAGATATGGATTTTTAGCCCAAAGTGTTGGCAGCCATTTTCAAGATTTATTACCAGGTAATTTTTAATAAGAAAGTGCTGCAAGCAACATTGAAAGTATATCCCTTACTCTCCACACACCGGATCACTTACACACATTGCAACTGATTTCCGGACAAGCTTCACTGCATCCTGATCCATCCGGCATACCAGAAACCTTACTGTGTGTGCTTGCAGTCTTTCAGTTTTGCAGTAATTTCAAAGTAATTTCTAATATGCAATAATTTCAATCCAAATGTGTCAGCAAGATCTTCAGAAGGCATAAATTTTGCTGCTGATGCATCACCAAATATCTTTCGATATTCACTCACTTTCTGCACCCTGGCTTAAAGGAACAAATTGCACTCATCATGACTCATGACCAGCAGAATGAGATGAAATGAGAACTTCAATACCGTCAACCAGGGCTACTCGGGACAGATTTGATAGTTTTTTTTGTTAATAACTGTTAATAACTTCTTATGATGAAACATTTCATAAACAAATTTAGTCTCATTTTATAGCTCCATGCGAGGGCTATCGAATGGCATTGTCAAAAAAATTCCATATGCTATTTGTAAGGCACCAGACGCAAAATAAAGATTGTCCCGAGTAGCCCCGTCAGTCGGGGCTACTCGGGACAATGGGAATAAAACTTCATTTCAAAACATTTGAAGCATGCAGAGCGTACTCATCCATTACTAACAGTACTCTGAAGTCCTCCTCTTTCATTGTAGATGATGTAGAGGTAGAATAAATGAAATTTTATGTGATTTTTACTTGTTTTTCCTTTATTGATATGATATTGCCATATACATTAATTACCGTATTATTGATGTGCAATTATCGTATTATTGATGCAATATTACCGTATCCATGAACATGCCATTGAGCATTTACAACAACCTTGTCCACTGCAAGCTTCATATCAGCAGCCTTATAGCATTTTTTTTGTATCTGTAAGCTTACAGGACGGCTCGTAATTTCGCATCATTTTAATTGGGTTAAGTGAATTTACTATAGTAAAAAAGATCGTGAAAAACATACCTGAAACAGAAAGGAATGTTTCAGTGACAACCAACGTATCTTTTGGAGAAATAAATCATAGTTTAGGTCAATTACTTTTCATTCTATGATGCCTGGTGCACAATTCTATACATGACATGCTATGCACAATTTTGTGATGACCGATGATGCACTAATTTTTTAATAAGTGAAATTTTTTTTGCTGAGCAAGGAAAATGTGATCAATATTCTTTGTTTTTAATAAATTTCTTTTTAATTGGAGCCATTGCTAACTGAGGTTCTACCGTAAATGCGTTTTTGGGGGTGTCCCGAGTAGCCCCGCCATGCGTAAATGACTGCCATTTCTTTTTGGAATGAGATGGGCAAATTCTGTCAATTACGTTTTCAAGCCGACACCTGGGTGCAACTTTTACGTAAGTAAAATTTTTTAATACGGCAAATATTTTTTTCCTACATACCTTAGCAGTTGTAACTTTACAAAATATAGTTTTTCACCATTTTTTTCAGGAATTTTTCAGAGCAAGTAAATGTAGTATTTTTCGACTTCCTTTATACTACATAGATAGGAAAAATGTTGACTTTTACGCCACTATTTTTAGTTTTGCAATATTCCAATTAGTTTTGCTACTATGACTGTTTTACGATGTATCAGAGGTGCGTCCCGAGTTGCCCCGCCAGTCCCGAGTTGCCCCGGTTGACGGTATACACTACAGAAGTGACCTTATCCAGCAATAAATCAAACTAACTATTAACGTGAAAATTTAAAAATCAAAGTTTTTACAAGTTATCACAAACAGTCACAAAGCATCACTTTGATTCATTGATTTGATTCACATTTGATAAATTCTTAAACTAGCAAATCTCTTTAAATAAGTAAAAAAATAAAGGGAGCACCACAACCAAAAATATGGTGCAACTGGAAAATTGGACAAAAATAACCTGTGAATTGGACAAAAGTGCTCAAACTGCTCATGAATCTGGCCAATTTCACCCATTACATTTTGTAATATTGGTTCAAACTTTCTAAAACTTCATGTAGAAATGATTATGTTGCTGGTGATTTTTGACAATCACGGGTTAAATTAATATAGGCCATTCTATTTTGGTAATTATTTTGGTATTTGGCCATTCTATTTGATGTTGCTCAAAGAAGTTCCTTTCTGGGAGCAAGCAACAGGAAGGCTACCATGTTCTTGTCCAGTGCTCTTGTAGTTTGCTTCTTAGGACAGTGAGGGATTCTTCTAAGCTTAATGTACTCAAGGCAGATTGGGCATTGAGATGGCCCATGTTGGCTGCCCTGTCTGCCACTTCATTACCCTTTACACCACAGTGCCCTCGCACCCATTGTAGTACTGTGGAGGCTCATCTTCTGTGAATTAACTCTTGATGATGATTGCAAAGAGTTCTGAACTGATGACTGTAAGGGAAGGGTTCAGCTTCCCTGTAGTGGCACTCTGAAGACTTAGTATAGGTATACATGGCTGCAGCTGTAGAACCATTGCTATGCTTTGATCTATCATTGTATGAATCATTGTGCACATAGGATGGAAAATTTTTGTGGCAGTATTTGTTGAATATACCCCTGTTAATGGCTGAGGGAGCATCATGGCTGCAGGTGCTTTGGGTGGAGAGCTGAATGTGAGGTTTCAAACTGGGATGTGGAGGAATAGGCAAGATGTTAGGTGTTGGAATTCTTTTAAAGCTGGGTATGGCCAGGCTGGTTAGGAGGCCCCTGGCTCTCATTGCAAAGTAGCTGTTGGCAAAATTATGCTCTGAAACTCCAACTTCATGGCAAATCTCATTTCCCGATGTACCCTGAGGACAGTGCAAGATTTTTAGGAACCATTTTAAAAACAGTTAGTCATACTTGATCACTAGTTGGGTATATAGGCTTCAATCTCCAGAGAAGTAATAGGAGATGCGTTTCGGGCACCCAGAACAATTCTTAATATGCTGGACTGTATAACGTTCAGTTTTTGTGTGTGTTTTGCAGGGATATCACAAAGTTTGAATAAAATGCTGCCATACTCAAGTTTGCTACGGATAAAACTGATATACACCTGCCATAGCAGGCGGCTGGAGGCACCCCCCCAGCTGCTGCCCGATAGCGCTCAGAGGTGCCAGTCAGCGGAGGCCCTCATTCTTCAGGTAAGAAATGTGTGCCTGAAATGTCAACTTTGGAGCCTCAAATAGAATGCCCAAGATCCTCTGCACAGGGACATTCTTAATGGCTTAGTTTGCAATAATAACATTTAATGGAGGGACATTACATTTTTGCATGAAGCTTGGAGAGAACACTCTAATGGGTTTAACATAAACTGCCATTTTTCAAGCCAACAACCCAGTGAATCTAAATAACTTTGCATCCTCTGCTGGGCAACTTCCACCATGTTGGAGACAGCAACCAATGTGATGTCTTCAGTGTAGGAGAGGATTTTCACTTGACTTAGGGGATTTTGCGAGGTCACTCAGCATTATGTTGAAGAGTGTTGGAGAGAGAACTGCACCCTGGGGTACCCCCCTATTAAGAGGTTTCATCTCAGAAAGGTATTTGCCAACCTGCACAGAGTTGGTCCTGTCCTTGAGGTAATGATACATCCATCGGATTAGTTGGGGGTCAAACTTCAATTTGATCATCTTGTAGATGAGGCCTTGGTGCCATACGTACTGTCAAAAGTGCCCTGGATGTCAAGATAGACTACCAGACTATGCTTTCCCTCCATAGTTGCCTGTCTAATGGTGTGTGTTAGCACCGCCAAAACGTCCATGGCACTCCTGCCACATCTGTATCCCGTTTGGGTAGGTGGCAGTATGTGCTTGGTTTCAATGTAGTGTTCAATGCTCCTTCGAATAATTCTCTCCATAAGTTTACCTATGCATGACAGCAGGGTGATGGGTGTGTAGGAGCTGACTTGGGTTGGGTCCTTTCCAGGCTTGAGTATGGGGCAGATGACTCCTCGTTTCCACGAATATGGCATCACTCCACTGAAAAAGCTGGTGTTGAAAAGGTTGAGGAGCTCAATTTTGATGCAATCCAGGCTCCTTGTTAGGAAGGCATTGGCAATAAGATCATTCCCTGGAGAGGCATTCATTAACACTGAATAGACATCTGAAGTTCTTGAAGATTAACTTCTGGACACATTGGCTCACTAGCACCACTCACTACACTTTCCACTTCTCCAATCACCCCCTCATCCCATCCAGCATTCTTGTGCATAGGCCGAGTCATGTGTGAAATGCTCAAGAAAAAGAGTTGCTATTTCATAATTTGAGGTGGAATGCTTGCCAA